TGTCCCCACTGTCCCCCTCTGCAGTTCGGGGAGTCCCAGCAGCTGCGGATGGTTCGGATCCTGCGCAGCTCCCTCATGGTGCGGGTGGGCGGGGGCTGGATCGCCCTGGACGAGTTCCTGGTGAAGAACGACCCGTGCAGAGGTGGGTGGGGGGTCCTGGGGGGTCCTGGGGGGGTTCTGGGGGGGTCCTGGGGTGTCCCAGCTCCGTGGGGGTCAGTGGTGGCCATGGGACCCCCTCACTGGCCCCGTTCTTTGTCCCCAGTGAAGGGCAGGACCAACCTGAAGATCAACGAGAAGTACCTGTCCTCTGACGTCATCGGAGCCGCCGCCAGGTGTGCCGGGCCCCAGCCGGGCCCCTCCCCCAGGGTTGTGTCCCCGAGCCGCTCCAGCTCCAGCCTGAGCCTGTCCAGCAGCGCCTCGGCCCCCAGCAGCCCCCTGGCCAGGAAGGTACAGAGCCCCCCGAAACCGGGACCCCAAAAACGGCCTGGGAGGGGCACTGAGCCTAAACTGACCCCACTGACCCTAAACTGACCCCATAATGGCCATCACTGACCCTAAACTGACCCCCCAAACCCAGCTGGGACGGGCACTGACCCTAAACTGACCCCACTGACCCTGAACTGACCCCACTGACTCTAAACTGACCCCAGTGACCCCATACTGACCCCACTGACCCTAAACTGACCCCACTGAACCCTCACTGACCCCACTGACCCTAAACTGACCCCAGTGACCCCATACTGACCCCATAATGGCCATCACTGACCCTAAACTGACCCCCCCAAACCCAGCTGGGATGGGCACTGACCCTAAACTGACCCCACTGACCCTAAACTGACCCCTTAAACCGGCCTGGGACAGGCACTGACCCCACTGACCATCACTGACCCTAAACTGACCCCCCCAAACCCACCTGGGAGAGGCACTGAGCTCCCCCCCAAAATCCTGACCCCCCCAAACCAGCCTGGGATGGGCAGTGAGCCCCACTGACCCCTCAGTGACCCCTCCCTGACCCCTCGCTGACCCCTGGCTGACCCCTGACCCCTCCCCGGCCCCCCCCAGGCCGTGCTCCGCAGGACCCGCTCCGGGGATCGCTGTCCCCCCTCTCGGGTCTCGGACGGAGCCGAGTTCGGTTCGGCCGAGGAGAACCTGGCAGGGGCAGCGCCAGGTGAGCCAGGTGAGCCAGGAGTGCCAGGTGAGACAGGTGAGACATGGGGGGCAC